CCCGGGGCGGGGGCTGCGGAATGTGCCGGGGTGCGGGGTGACTGCGCCCCTGGTGCGCCTGGGTCCGGGTGGACTGGGGGAGAGAGGAACTGCCCTGCTCGCCGGCCCTGCGGTTTGCTTGTCAGCCGCTGAAGACCAAGCGAAGTGTGTTTTAACCCGGGATCCGGTTCGGCAGATACGGCGCACTCGGTGACTTGAGTCCTAGGGCTGCAGCTGTCTCGGGTGTAGGAATCTGGGTTGGGTTAAGCTGGCTTCCCAAGCAGTCCTGGGCAAGGGGGCGGTTCAAATGTGACCTTTCTAACTAGATGAGTCTGGAGATGCTCCTAGGAAGATTCGGGGGACTCTGCTGACGCGGCTGTGTAAACAAGCCAATTGACTTGGTTTGGACCTGAAATCTGAGGTGGTAGTGATCTTCAGTGTAGTGAGAGGTATCGATGTGGAGCACTTTCCTACTTTCCCTATCACTCCTTATCCCGTTTCAGAAAAGAACTGTTTAATTGACCCAATACCGTGGGTATAAAAAATATTAATAGTAATTTGAAACTTGTCAGAGTGTAGATCAACCTTAGGTACAGGAAGAAGTGTTATTTAATAAAATATTTATTTGCAGTAAGGGGCACAGAATAAGGCAAAAACATTTATTTTTTTTCTGTATTTTTAAAAACTCCTTTCCAAAATTTTAGCACAGTAGTCACTTACAGGACTGAAATTGAGTGATCTCTTGATAATATTTTTTTTAAAAAAGTTTTTGCTATGAGTATACTCAGCGTTTTTTACTTCCCTCCCTTCCTGTGAAACTTTGAGAAATGGCTGGAGCCAAGCAGTTAGCTTGGAGAGGGGGAGCTGAGGCCAGTCCTTCAACAAGCTGGTCATAAGATACCAGGTCATGTGCAGCCACTTGCTATTAAGAAATCACTCTGCTTCCATCTTAGAGTTCTTTGGACATCATTTCTGGGATTGTTTCATATTAGGCTTTTATGTATGAGAAACAAAGTAGAAGCCGGACGTGGTGGCACACGCCTGTAATCCCAGCCCTCGGGAGGCTGAGGCAGGAGGATCGCTGTGAGTTCAGAGACCAACCTGGGCTACACAGTGAGTTCCAGGGCAGTCTGAACTGTATAGTGAAACCCTGTCTCAAAAAACAAAACAAACAAACAAAAAACAACAACAACAAAAAAAAAAGTGTAGTAAAGGCATGAGTATGTCAATCATAAGGCTTACAAATGGTAATTTCTAGTTATATAGCTGACAAATTGTGGTGTGTGTGATAGAATCTCACCAGGGTTTCTTTAGATTAAATGTTTCTTAGAATTTAGGACTCAGTATTGACCATACCGTGTAGTAGAAAAACATTTTCAGATATGGAATTGTGAAGTGTGTTGCTTTCAATAATTGAAAGTTTCACTTTTCTTATTAGATGAGAAGCAGACTGTCATATTAGTATTGTGATATTGTTTTATAAAACATGCTGTACTTTTGACCTGTTACCGGTTTTTTGAAGGTGGAGGAGGGGTGTAACTGGTCAATAAGGTCTCCTGCTCTGAGTACAGTATTAACTGTGTGCGCAGTAGAATAGTAGGTATACTAGAGATCAGAAAAATGGGAGACTATCTCCTTGGTATTTAAGTGTGTACAAATGCAGTATTTGACCACTGTCAAGGGTAATAGGTTCAATTTTGCCTGTTGCTGCATATGTAGAATCAACAGGAATAAAGCTTTTGGTGGTATTCTTAATAGCTCTGAAGGACATTTCCATGAAATTCAATAATTTATGGCTATGTATGTTTTTTGGAAGCTTTTAATCAGGGGTGTTTTATTTTTTTGAGGTGTTGGGGATCAAACCTAGGGCCTTTCATATGCCAGCCAAGTGTTCTACCACTGAGCTGTGTAGCCCTAGCCCCAGCAAGACTACTTTATATTGAATGCATAGGGCGGTACCTATTTTTAAGTTTAAAGTACATGTTACATATTTCAAGTCCTTTAATTGATTATTTATTTATACTGCTCGACACAACAAAGTTTTCTTTTTTCATCATGGTCAAATATTGTGTATATTGTAGATATGGAGAAGCAGTAGGGCTCCTCACAGTTATAAACCATATCATGAATACCACACCAACCAAAGCAGCAGTTAGAACTTGGCCGCTGTTCTTTTTTTCTATGCAGTAATGTAAATAAATCCCAATACTAATTTCTTCTCCCCAGAAGAGTGGATCTAGAACAGAAGGGAGTATGAATTTATATTAAAATATGCCAGTCCAAAGTTTTTATCTTCTGTATAATAATCTGAAGTATCTGTGAAAGTTTCCAAGAACAATGGATAGATGATGGTTTTAGGTGTGTATAACAAATGTCAGGATGAAACATTTTTGGAAAAAGACTTACACCTTAGTAGGACTTGAAAGCAATAAGCTTGATAAAATAAACTTCATCTGAATCTCCCCCATCATTTTCTAAATCCCCACCCCTTTACCTCTCTAAAACCTGTTGCCTAAGATTCTCTTGAGTCCCTGTCAGTTCTTCCCTTTCCATAGAGCTTTTTCTCAGTCATTGAAGATGTCCTTCCTTTGATTTCCAGTAGTATTTTATTTTAAACTTGCTTCTCTGGCTCTCATTCTAAATATATCTTTTTTTTTTTTTTTCTCAAATGTGTGCTTGCTGGACTGTAGGCTACAGGAAATTTGGATTCTCTTGTGTCTAGAATATTGCCTTGTCTGAATTGTTAAATGGGGAAGTAAGGGAATGAACATGAGAACAAAGGTGAAAACCTGCCTTCCAGGTGTAATAGCAGCTCATATTTACTGAGTAAAGAGTCCTGAAGCTTATGTAATTTCTGGATTTCTTTATACTGAAATAATATCAATAATAGATACAAAATTGCTGGGGCCCTCTGGTCACTAGGGAAGGGGTACGTTCTAACAAAAGACATCAACATCATTAGCTAGGCATACAAATACTATGTGCTACACACTAAATTTATTCTTGTTTAATCTTGATGGTAGTAATGAGAAGCAAGGAACGATAAATATATGGAGAGTCTTAAATACCAATCTAACCCATTGGTAACATAGGCAGTGGAAAGTTGTCCATGTAAATTGAGGAGCTGGAGTCACAGTAAAATTAATATGTAGGCAGGCTGGGGATTTAGCTCAGTGGTTCTGCCGCCAGCCTCACAAGCACAAGCGCCTGAGTTCGATCCCTGGTACCAAAAAAAAAAAAATAATAATAATATATACGTATATGTGTGGGCAGGTATGGCTAATGTGTAGATAAATGTATGCAATTTGTGAAGAAGCAGAAGGTACTAGACAAAGTTACTAGGCCTCAGGAGTCAAGAAACTTGATAATTTCATTGAATAATTAAATATTTTGAAGGCAAGGCAAATGTAAGGGTTGAGTTTTTTCCCTTTTTTTTGTTAGTACATGTTTGCAGTAGATAATTACATTTCTTGTGGGGAGTTGGTACCTGTAGAGAGCACATTTCAATCCTCCCCACCTTGCCTTCTATCTCTTGACACCCTTTCCATTTGAGAATGATCTATCTCCCTATTTCTTATTATCTTATTTTCTCTATACAGTATTTATATTTGGGTTTTTTTATATAAGAGAAATATATATTTAACCTTCTGTGTTTGATTTATTTCATTTAACATTATGGTTTCAAGGCGCATCCATTTTCCTACAAGTTTATCCTTCTTTATGGCAGAGTAATACTCCATTTTATATATATAAATACCATATTTTATATATTCATCTTTTGATAGACATGTACTCTGCTTCCAAGATTCAACTATTATGAATTGTGTTGCTATAAATATGGGTATGCATGTACTTAAGGTTTTAATGTGAAAGAAAAATTAGTAGAATTTGGTAATGAGCTATAAAGAATGAGAAGGGACAGATTATCTTCTGTGACTAAGCATTTTCATTATTTTATTCAGCCATTCAAGCAATAGGTAGAGAAAGAGAAGCTCACAGAAATTAATCTGTCAAAGCTCTCCTCACAAGTAGTGAAGTTGAGCCAGGTATTTAGCTCAATGGTTCCACCTCCTGCCTTGAAAACGCAAATTCCTGAGTTCAATCCCAGGTACCAAAAAAAAAAAAAAAAAGTAGTGAAGTAGTTGAGTCTGTTTAATCTCATATCTGCTATTCTGTTTATGTAATGCGCTGTAACTCTGCATGAGCTTTGAGTCTGCCTGACTACAGAATTGTGTACAGCCAAGAAAATAGGAACACAGGAAAGAAGTACACGTTATAGAAGAAAGAGAATTCAGTTTTGTTTGTAACAGTCATTTACTTGAAGTTGATACCTGAGTGGTGGTAAGTTACAAGCAGTTAGAAATAAGGAATAGTGATTAAGGAGCCCTTAGTTTTTTTTTTTGTACCGGGGATCAAACTCAGGTCCTTTCTCTTGCAAGGCAGGTGGCAGAACCACTGAGCTAAATCCCTGGCCCTAGAAATTGTTGATATAAGTGAGTTGTTAAAGAGGGTTGTAAAAATGGGACTTTAAAGATTTAAAAGAGGAACCCATCTCAAACATGCTGAATTGGGGGACAGAAAAAGAAAGATTTCTCCATACGTGAAGGGACTGAGCCAGTTTGTTATATTGAAACAATCAATTTTGAAGTAGTTTTTTAGAATTAGTAGATTTTTTTGAATTGTTTTTACTTAAAACCCTAGAGCATAAAGAAAAACATGCAAAATTAAGTTTTCTCATAGAAGTTCCATTTTTTCCTTTGTTGTTTTATTGATTATGATCTCTATGCATCAATATTTTAGCAACACAAATCACTTTTAGATACAGTATTAGAGAATAACAAATATTTTGTTTTTTGTTTTTTGTTTTTGAAAAGCAGTTTTATTAGAAAATAAACCAGGGCCAGGGATTTAGCTCAGGCATGCTGTGTCTGCCTGGTAAGCATAAGGTCCTCAGTTTGATTCCTGGTACCCCCCCCACAAAGAAACCAATTAACCAGAAAATATATCCTCAGAGAATGTGGAAAATGAACTGACCATTTTAAATATGTAGTATTGAGTTCTATAGGGGAAGAATTAGAGTGATATGGACTAGAGATTTCATCTAGATTTTTAATCTGATGTAGTTATGACTGTCATAAATTTTCATAAGCAGGTAACTTATAATAAAAGTGGAATTTTGGCAATGATTGGCCCCATACTTCTGTTGATTTAGAAGACTTGGCACAGTACCTGGTATAAGAGAGAGACTATAACTGGATTTACTTTTCTGTTGACTGTGTTCATTATGACAGGGACCAGAACAATTTTTAAATGTCATGAAGGTGTGAGGGGGGAAGGATAAAAGCATGCAAAGAACAAAGCAGAACTTTTAATCAGAATCTTTGATTTTATTCTTCAGATGTTAGAGATAAAGTGTTGTATTTTATTTCTTGCCTATTTAAAATATTGTAAAAATTACTAAAAAATCATGATATAGTCTCAAATATCTCAACTTTTCATGTTATCATTTTATTGTTTATGCTTTTACTAAGTTAGAACTTCTCATGTTTTGGTTTTTAAAAGTTTGGATTTCTGACTTTTGTTTTTATTTTCTTTTCTCTCTGCCTTCCTCTTCCCACCCCCAGTGGACAAACTACATTCATGGGTGGCAGGATCGTTGGGTAGTTTTGAAAAATAATACTCTGAGTTACTACAAATCTGAAGATGAGACAGAGTATGGCTGCAGGGGATCCATCTGTCTTAGCAAGGCTGTGGTCACGGTAAGCTCCTATTTCTCTTCAACAAGGATTCATTGACCTATTCTATTATCTATAGATCAGGAACCATATACATCTGTGAACAAAATGAAGGTGCCTGCTTTTGTGGAGCATATATTCTAATACTTTTTTCATCATTTACTTTGGAGTGTTTATTACTACGTAATATTTGTATAGGTATGTAGTATTTCATATCCAATGAAATTGGGACAGTTACTTTATAAGTTATTGAAAGAGTTAAATCGGGAAAATCACATAAAATTTACATCTTTTTTTTTTTTTTTAAATATATAAATATAGCAGGGTGTGGTTGCGCATGCCTGTAATCCCAGCACTAGGGAGGCTGAGACAGGAGGATCACTGTGAGTTCGAGACCAGCCTGGGCTACACAGTGAGTTCTAGATCAGTCTCAACTACATAGTGAGATCCTGTCTCAAAAAACCAAAAAAATAAAATATATAAATATATATTAATTTGCCAAGTTTTTTTATGTTGAGCAAACGTCATCTTTTGTGATGCTCTGAGAATTGTTACTATGTTAATTATAACCATAATTATATACAATCTACAGTTTCCAGTTTTGATTCCCCTAAATTGGAGTAAGAGTTTAAAGATGCTTTTGAAAAACTCTGATTCTGGGCTGTTTCTGGCTTTTTTGTGATGTTCCCTAACAGTTTACAGTTTTATCACTTTTATCAAATGTAACACCTTTAAAAAAAAAATAACTCACTTTGAGTCATTCTATTTAGTTTACGTTCAACTCTGGACTGCAGTCAGTAGACTTACTGTAATTCAGTAATGTAAGAATAAAAAGTGAACTGGCCTAAGCAAGTTTGGGGATAACAACTAACTTGTTTAACATATAATTCAGTTCCTGGGATCAGGAGTGTCTGATGATGGCTGGATGTAGTGGCTCATGCCTATAATCCCAGCACTCTGGGAGGCTGAGGCAGGAAGATTCCAGGGTCATACCCAGCCTGAATAACTTAACAACTTGGCATGACCTCCCCTCAAAATAAAAAATTTTAAAAAGATTGGGATTATAGTTGAGTGCTGAGGTGCTAGGTTTAATTCCCAGCACTGAAAAAATAAAAAGTTCTTAATTGTAAAAAAAATAGCTTGTTAGTTGGGAGAGTCCAGCATGCCACAGCCATATTTATATTTACCAAAGGCTTAAAAAAATATTGGCTAAGACAGGACAATTAAATGAAGATAGATCAATTAAGGGGGAGCTATTGTAGTTAACATCTAACATTGGATATGCTAAAATAAAAGTATAGATTTTATCACCCATTCAAAGAGAAATCACATTTTCTAATATAATTTATTTTATTTTCCTTATAGAAGTAAAAAGGTATACTTTGGATTTGTTTGTATCTTATTTATGTTATGCATTTAATGAAAATCTTACAGAATTTTTCCATCACTTTTTATACATTTGATATATTCAAGTTTGAAAACAGAAGTGGATATTAAGTTGGAAAAGCAGGAATTATTTGGAAGCATTAAGCCACTATTCTTCATTCTAGGGACAATTTTAAATAAATGTTTTGAATTTAAAGCTCAGTATTTACTTTGATGTGTAGAAGATTAGTATATTTTGAAATATATCCAGTGCAATATTTTAGAAGTTTTTCTCTTCAAGATAAATCATTATTCATATCGGGATGGAATAATGGATAGAAATTATAGTTTATGATCTTGAAGTATCTTTCCATGGTTCTTTCCTACTTTTCTTCTGCATATGTCAGGTACATATTAATTGTAGTAATTGACTCTTTAAAAATATTATGTCGATGATTGATGTCAAAAAGGGAGGGAAGTAAATATTATCTTTATCATCTCCTAAGTAGTAGTATTCCTAGAGTACCCTGATAATTTCTGTGGATTTAAATATAGTTATCCTGTCTTGCATTATTGGCTGTTGTAATAGTTCATGTCTTATTTGAAGAAAAGTGTTTTTTGTTTTTTTTTTTTTATTTTTTTGTACTGGGGACCGAACTCGGGACCTTGAGCTTGTGAGGCAGGTGTCAGAACCACTGAACTAAATCCCTGGCCCTGAAGAAAAGTTTTAATAAACATTTTCATTGTATTTGTGGGGTGGAGGGTACTGTTACTTCATTGTAGACTTTTTTTTGTATGTGATAGCTGTATTTGTATGTAGAATTTTTAGTTTGTTATATAGTTAAGGGAATGGGTAGAAAAGTGGAACTATTTGAATACTTTGGAAGGAAAGATTTATAAGTGACTAGAGGGAATATTCATTGGTAACAAGATAAAAAAAATGAATAAGGCAGCAGAATCCGAGTTGATGGTGCTTAGATGCAGTGAAGCAAGTGATAGGGAGAAAGAAACACAAGTATTTATATTCCTGAAATTTCTTGACCTTCAGTCTATTCCTTGCTTTCTGTGTTCACAGGCTCCATATTACATTTTTCAAGGAAATTACAAAATATAAATGAGTGCAATGAACATTTCAGAATGAGATTTACAAATAGAACATGTACTTCAGTTACAAAAGCAATGCTAATGTTTATCATATAGGTATTCTTTGCTATTTTATCTTTAAATATATACTATTAATCTATATCACTTCATCTGTGAAGACAAAGAATATTAATGTTGAATTTGTCTCTGTGGCACTCTTCTGCAATTGAAAGTATTCATATATGAAAAAGATCTGGACTTAAAGAGTTACAATTTTACTGTGACTGTTAATGAATACTTGTTGGTGGATCTAGTGTTTGAGCCCACCTTTTGTGATAGAGCCTGTTTTATTTTTAGCCTAATTAACTCCTATTTTAGTTTAACATATCATTGTTAATTTACAAAAATCATGTTTAAATGTGTGATAATAAATTAGGCAAAATGATTTCAGAATGTAAAGTATCCTTAGAGAATTTATTCCCTTATGTGAAGGGATTGGTAATAACTGTTAAGAAAAATAGTACTCCTTCACTTTGTAAAAAAAAAAAAAAAAATGCTATTTGTAGAATGTAGAATCAAAATTGAATTTCTGAGTTATTGCAGTTTAGTAGTTACAGTTGTACCTCTGTTCACAAACTTAATTCTTTCTACAGTTTTGGTCACAAATCAAATTGGACTAGAACCAAATTAAAAAACTCAATTGTTAGGTTCATTGTTGACCTTATGGGGAAATTTGATTCAGTTCTCATCCAGTTTGGATTGTGACCTAGGTACCACTATACTTTACAGCCCGAGCTATAAAACTTGCCATATAGTAGATATTCATAGAATTAATTGCAATTGTTTCAGTCAGAAGCTGACTTTTTAATAGAGTATTTTGTTCTTTATTTTTAAATAAAAATGCGCATGATAGGGTTGAGGGTCTAGCTCAGCAAATTCATATTTCAGAGTTACAAAGACCATGCTTCTCTTTATTTTTATTCCTACACTCAAAAAAAAAAAGTTGAATTTCTGGTCATCATTTCTGAAAATTTGTATAACTATATAAGCATTTGTTTGTTTGTATCTTTTTTGTTTTGTTTTTGTTTATTCTTGGTACCAAGGATCAAATTCAGAATCTGTGCTTGAGAGGCAGGTGAGTTGCCACTGAGCTTTTTTTGTTTTTATTTATACAGATAATATCATATTAATGCATTGTTTTACCCATTTTTTTTTTAAATACTTCGTAGGCATTAACTGCTACATTATGTTGAATTTGCCCCTTCCTTATTCTTAGACATTTAGGTCATGTCTCATTTTATCTCAATATCAACATGGTTGGAACAAATACATGTACTTTAAAATTGGTTTTTAGTTATTGTCAAATTCAAAAGACTACTGTTTTCATTCCTACCAACAATGTATGTGTGCCTGTGTTTCTGTGCCTTCAGATATTAAGGAAGTTGGGTTTGAGAAGGTACTAAAATATTTTTGTCAAACAGGTAAAAAATAGCATCTTATTTAAATTGAATTTTTTTATTCATAGGATTGAGTAACTTCATATAGTTATAACCCATTTGCATTTTTTTCTTCCAATGTTTATCTCTTTACTTTTCTTTCTGTCTTGATTTATAAAATCAGTATGATAATCAGTCATATTTGTTTTAAGTATTTCCTTTTATCTTTATCTTTGCATGTTTATAATTTTTTTTAAAGGACTTTTAAAAATTTAAATTTTTTACAAATCCTTTTTGACCTTTTCCTTTGTGGTTTCTGTATTTGATTAGTTTTACATAGATTTTTTTTTTTTTCTCAAAGACTGTATCCCTACATTTAAATGTAGCTGTTTTCATCTATAATTTATAGTTGCATTTTTATTTTAATTGCAGTTATTTTAATTTAAGGAATGAAATTAGGTGTAGCTTTTCACTCTTGTTTATTTAGTTTTGGTATACTGTCTTCATATATCATCTTTAAAATTACGTCACTGATATTTCATCATTCAGTTTAACTGCTGTGATCTATTTGTGAAGGTGAAAGAAATACATGTTTGCATTTGCTGAAATTAGAAGCTATTTTGTGAAGTAAATTTAAAGACTTTGGGCATAATGAAGTAGTACTATTGTTAGATTTGGCTAAGTTCTGTAGTCAGGTCACACCTTAGACATCTGACTTTTATACCTAATTATTTTGTAGAAAGTTTAAATTGCCAAATGACAATTACTATTATTCTTCTAGGTTGGTTATAGGGAGATTTATTAATCAGTTTCATGTTTTAGTATTTTCAGAAGGAAACCTGAAAGATAATGAAAATGCTTACTACTGGATAATAAAAATAAAGTCAAACAACTCTTAAATAGCAGTTGGAAGAGAAGTTGAAAGATCCTGGCAAAATCAGAGGCCGATAGAGATGTAAAAGCAAGGGAAGGAAGTGTTTAAATTGAAGAGAACCATAAAAGTAGAATTTAGAAGTACCACATAAAACAGACATATCTAAAAAAATTTTGTATGTGGGATTATAAAGTAAGAAATTTTGCTATAGTAATGATTGGCAAAATGGATAACATAGTCATACAAGAAACTCGAGTGAGAAATCC